ATATATATATATATATATATATATATATATATATATATATATATATATATATATATATAACTGTTATATAACTTTTCAGTAACGTGTTACTTACGGGTTATATTTCTGTTGTGTAATTTCATTTGAGTAAAAAATCATAACTAACGTATATATTACATTTAACATGCATGCTGTATTGCACATTACATTTCGTTACGACGATGTGACAGTTATATTATTATGTTTACTGTGTTGTATATTTTTATTTTCATATACGAATACATTTGCAGAATGCAGAAAGAAATGGAAGAGCGGTTGAAGCAGCTCGCTCAGGAGTTCAAGAAAGCGACGAACATCCGCATAGCGGACATGATGCACAACGCGGTCAGGAGGAACATCGCGCTGAATCACGAGCTGAACACGATGATGAAAGTCTGCCAAGACTTGGAGACGCAGAGCGCGGAATGCAAAAGCAACGATCGTATACTCAGATTACAATGCGAATTGTTCGAGGCGGAGGCGAAGATCGCGCTGGGCGATGCCATGAGGCAGAAACGCGCGATGCACAAACTCGCGCACGAACACATAGACCTGTTCCTCGAGTACGGAAGATTGCAGCGAGAGAACGTGCGACTCAGTAATTACGAGCAACTGATGGACGAGTACAAGATGATATGCGCGATGTCAGATGAGAAAGTGAAGGATCTTGAGCTGCGCTTGCAGGAGGTGAAGAAAGCCCGGGAGGACGTTCTAGTGGAAGTGCGAGAGAAATGTGCAGAGTTCGATAAACTAAACGTCACTCTGAACGAAGCCAAGCGATGCGTGCTGGAGACGTTACAGGTATTATCAAGATCAGGAAAGTTGCAACGACTCGTTAGTTCCTGAGTAACAATGATAACGGTGACGAGCTATTTTTCAAAATGAATTCATGATAATGAGGTCGCTAACGATAACTATATCATTAACTATATATATAATAACAACTATAACAAGTTATTTCTTTTTAATAATGTGTAACGCAAGCGAAGTTGGAAAAGTTATTTTTTAAAAGTAACTCGTTACCGTTACTTGTTACCAGGGTTGGGAAGTAACGCTTCACTTGTAACGCTATTACCATTATATGTTACTTTTTTAGACTTGGAAACGATGATTATATTTTTACTAAGAACTTTAACGACCTTATTTTTTTAACGACGTTATTTTTTATTTTAGTGACAATAATGATTATACAGTTACATTTCTTGGGTAACTGTTACTTACTATCGTTACTTCGAACATGTAGAATACATAATATACTGAGTAAACAGTGTTGAATCTTACATAGAAGAAATAATATGATTGGCTTGTACATAAATCTTGTTATGCTAACTAGTGTGTGTTTATTTACAGTTTTCTGTAAATAATTTTGAAATTTATCCTGAGATGCTTATGTGTTCTGAGATGCTGTGATAAAATATTTAATATGCACAACAATATTGTCGTCAACAAAATCGAATAGATAAATTCATCTCGAAATTTTGCATAATTTTAAATAAGCATAATACTGCGAAACATTATTTGAAATCTTTTTTTTATTTTAAAGAATGAAATCTGTACTTTAAGGAGTACAGATTTAGTTTTACATTTGTCGGATTTTGAATTTATTCTCTTCCCTTCCCGCAGTCTTTTCAAAAGTAAAGATGTGTTGCATCTCCAAAAAATTACACAATTTGACGTATCCTACAGGATGAGATAAATTTTTTTCGCAAATTTCATAATAAATTTCACCGTAAAGTATAGACTTTCCTGTGCAATTTAAAAAAAAGCGGATTTGTACGATTTTTTCGCGGAATTGCGATATATCAAAGTTACCTATGCATTTTTTTAAATCGCTTAATTCGACACACTTTACTGAGTGGAATAAATTCTTTTCACAAATTTTACAATAACTATCGTAAAATATCGATGTTTCTTTGCTAATAAAAAAATAAAGAAGAAGAGTACACGACTTTCTTCTGCGATGTTGTATGGCGTATCAAAATTACCTATGCATTTTTAATCAGTTACCGTGACAAATACGCGTGCACACGCACGCACATACAGCACACACACACACACACACACACACACACACACACACACACACACACACACACACATATCATACGCAAAATCCGATCAGCAACCTTCCCGTAGTGCGCATCGGGTAATGTTAATGCTGACGGTAACTGATTAAAAATGCATAGGTAACTTTGATACGCCGTACAACATCGCAGAAGAAAGTCGTGCATATCTCTTTTTTATTTTTTTTATTTGCAAGGAAACGTCGATATTTTACGATGGTTATCGTAAGATCAGTGAAAATAATTTATTCCACTCAGTAGAGTATGTCAAATTAAGCGATTTAAAAGAAATGCATAGGTAATGTCGCAACTTCGCAGAAAAATCGTACAAATCCGCTTTATTTTTTTAAATTGCAGGAGAAAGTCTATATTTTACGATAATTATTATGAAATTTGCGAAAAAATTTATTTCACCCCGTAGGATACGTCAAATTGTGCAATTTTTGGAGACGCAACACGTCTTTACTTTTGAAAAGACTGCGGAAAGAGAAGAGAATAAATTCAAAATCCGACAAATGCTCCTTAAAGTACAGACTTCACTCTTTAAAATAAAAAAAAGATTTCAAATACGATAATGTTTCGCAGTATTATACTCATTTAAAATTGTTTCGACATAAATTTACCTATGCAATAATTTTGTGTTGACGAGTGTAGCTTAAATTAATTCTTGAAATAGTATATACAGTACCTCAATAATATTCTAGAACAATTATAAATACATTCCTAAACATCATACGATATTCCATGAATATCCTACGGACGTCTTTGGGACATACTTTAAGATTCACCGCGTACATTGCAAGTTTAAAAATATTCGGCGCGTGCGCCTAACACTGTTAAACATCATTATCTTCCTGTTCTAACTTATTTGCACTAACTTCCAGTGAATAATTCTTTTATAAGGCTTTAACTTGCTTCTTATTAGGTGTTGTATGGTATTTCCTACACATTTTTATATATTTTTAACATATATATTAACTTTTTGTGTGCCGTAATAAGGAGGGTACATAGGAAGCAATTAGAAATCCGAGTAGCACAAAACATTAGGCGTATTGAATTTATAACGGCCAATATAAGTTCTACAGCGGCCAACTGACCCAGACAGCACAAGATCTTCAGAGGATGTTCTGGGAATATTCTCAGAATATCTTTAGGATGTCCTGTGAAGATCTGTACTGTATAGGTAATATGTGCTGCTCTAGAGAAAAAAAGTGTTAATACTTTCGAACCTCAGATATAATTTTATAAAAATGTGCAATATACAAATTTTGAGGATGCATCACTAATGAGAACGATTATCTTCAGCTACAGAAACAGGACGTGTGTACGAGTGACATCTGCATCTCATGTTGCGCCGATCAGAAACAAAAGATTATACATTCCCTACAAGATATATTGGAGAAGAGCAATATTTCTGACGTAGAACACGATGGCTTACAGGTAAGATGCGATAAATTATCGCGATAATTTAGGACAATCTTTGTCTTGTCACTTCCTTACTAATCCTTATAGCACATATGTTTTGTACTTTAATTTAGTATATCATTTGTTCTCTTTGTTATTTACATAGAGTAAAAATGCTAATAGAAATCTATAAAAAATAATAAATACATATACTTTCAAGTTTGTAAAATAGAATTCTATAACATTCAATACCATAGAATAGAATTATATGTATATACAGAAATAATTGCAAATATTCAGTTAATTTCATTTCATTTCATTTCATTTTATTTCATTTCATTTTATTGCAAATAAAAAAAGAAACGTGATGAAAACGTAAATCCCCATAATTTGTAACTTTTCTGAAAATGAACTTAAGAAATTAATACTCTAAAATTTTTTTGTCAATATTTTATCAATACTAAATCTTTAAGAGCAAAAAGATATTAAGCAAAAAGATCGAAGCAAAAAGATCGGAGCAAAAAGATATTACAATATATATTTCAATTTTTCAAAATATCATTGTTTAAGTGTGCAAAAATATATAAGTTTTTCAAAGAGACAAATTAATAGTCAAGTTTTTACAGTATTACTTTATTATATAGTGAGGATTTTATTAAAATTATTACAAAGAATTTTTATATATTATATTTAAAGAATTCTATGGAATATTCAACATATAAAAATATTAAAATAATAATGTTGAATAGTTAATATAATAGTTTAATATAATAGTTAATAAGATATTTTGTACTAAAAAATATCAGGGTATAATGTAAAATATTTCGGAAAATATTCACATTTCGATTATTTCCTCTCAATACGCAGAATTAAAGAAATTAAAGAAATCGATTTATTTTAAAGGAACCATATGATTCTACATAAAAAATTAAATGTAAATTTGACATGATTTTAGCAAAGTCAAAGTGAATAGCATAATCAGACTGTACATATTGTTTGAAACATTTTTCGATGAAATCCTTGATTTTCGAGAAATTTCAATGCGTCATTTAAAAGGATATATAAAACTTCTTTTCAGTATCTCTACTTAAATTTTAAAAGATAATAATTTGTTCAATGTTGTTTCAATGTTGTAGCAACATAAAGAATCAATGTAGAAGAAACAATATAGATTTAGCGTTGGAAAGATATTTATATTTCAACATTCAACATTATAACATCTCAGCAACGTTGTTTCAACTTTCTGTGCTGCATGGATATAGAGCCAAAAACAATCCTATAATAATTTTACCTTTTTGTTATATGACAGGCAATTAAAATTATTCAATAGTGTTTAAACTTCACATTCCTACTAAACTATAACTATAATTTTTTTTACATGAGTATTCCACGAAAATCTTCATTCTATTAGTTTTCATTATTTAATTTATTATTATTTAGAATTAATTAATTCTATTCATTCAAAATTAAAAATCAGGGTATCAAAAATTATCCTAATGTATCAGATTAGGGTTAATACTCCTTATAGAAATATCATACTAAGAATCATTTATAATTACTTATTTTCAGTATTAAAAATACTGGATAATAAGTAATTATCAATGATTCTTAGTATAATATTTCTATAAGGGCGTTCCGATATATAATAAAATAAATTCTCTGCAAGTTTGCGAATTTTGATATCCTTAACTTTTTTCACATGTCATTCATAAGTAAATGAAATTAAAAAATATATATATTTTAAATATCATTTTTAAATACGTTTACTTACATGTAAATACGTTTAAATACGTTTTATTATTTAAATAGTATATTAAAGAATATTTTTAGGTAGACGAAGACGAATTTTAACAATGGAATTTGATATCAAGATGCGCGCAGAGAATCTTCGAGCGGAAAAAGCGCGAATATTTGCGAAACAAAATCAGTTCACCTTTTAATCAATACTCGCGCACGTAGAAGGCAACGAGCCTAAATGCGGTTCTTGCATGCGTCAAGAAAGTTTATATATGTAACTTGCGGTTAGTAGTACGTTCGTAAATGGATCACACGTAAAACTTCGACTTGATGCGTATACGCAAAGCGGAAAGCGCCTGTTGCATCATTTGTTCCGTAGAGCCGTACTCTTGATGTGTATTCGACCGCTATCCAGGTAGCAATGTGACGTCTAAAGACGTCATTAAGATGTCATTAAGACGTCATTTCAATGACGTCTTAATGACATCTTTAGATATTTTAATGATGTCACCTTGCTACCTGGGTAAATAAGCTCCTTTTATTCTAAGTTCTATTTTTCTTATACGAGCGTCTCGTTAAAATTATTTTAACTTGAGAATCAGAAAGGCTACAAACTTAGCGTTCGAATATATCCAAAATAACACAAAATGTCCTGAATCTAGAAGCATAATTCATTATAACAATATTGACTATAAATTAGGCCCAGATAGTAAAATAAATGCCTTACATTTTATAAGCAATATAAAATTCCGAATATTGGCAATTCATTTATTATCAATATTGATATACATAACACTACAGATTATATTGATCTAATGTATACTAATGTAATCAATATTGAGTCAATATAAGGTTAGTAAACTGTGTTACTCTGGAGAAGTTATCGTAAACATGCTCAGAATATTCTGAAAAGATGATTTTGGGATATTTTATGCTATTTGGGACGTTAAAAATACGACTCTTAGAATATTCAAAATTTCTTTATTTCCGGTTACTCAAAGAATCGCGTCATCAACTCATATATGCCGGTATCCAGGTAGAATAGATAGTCAAAATAATGTCAATCTAATGTCATTTTGACTAAATATTGACAAAATTTGTCATTTTTTATGAAAATGACGTGAGATTGACATTATTTTGACTATCTGCTCTACCTGGGTAGAGTCGCGTTTCTCTGGCGGCACATAATTTCTCATTTCTCCAATATTCCGTGAGACGTTCCGCGAGGAACATCTCGTCGAGGCGCAGGCTTTGCGATACGCGGTCGGCGGAGCGCGACGAGGTTATGCGCGCTCTCCTCGCTAGATGCGCGTTACAGCTGCATTAACGCGGTGCGGCCGGGCTGAAATCATCGTGGGAAAGCACATGAATAACAATAAAGCGCTGACGCGGCCGTGGTAGCACGTCACTCGCGTCACTGGCGGCCGACACCTGAGGCCGCGTCGTACTGAGCGCGAGTCGACTCTGCAACGCGCGACTCCGGGATTAGATTCGAATCGGCCTGTGTACCTACATATACGTCCGACGATAAAATGTGACCAGACGCAATCGTTGGAGACCCGAGAATCATGGAGAGCAGAGGAGAAGGAGGTAACATCGCCAAGGCGCCAGGCGGGACGGGCGTCGCAGCTTTGAACGATGACCTAGAGTTCTGGATGACACGATTTCCGGCAGCGCTCAAGAACATACCCATAATACACCTGGCGATACCCGGTACGTTTGAATGTAACGCTCACGTGTTTAAAGCATAAAATCCTTTGTAACCCGAAACATTCCAATGAGAAATAACTGGTCGAAAAGACAGCTATTAAACGTCAATATTGTTTATGGTTGAAATATATATATATATATTTATCATTTCATAGCATGTAGGCTTCTCTCGGAAACGTAAAACGCTTGATCTCAGGGATGAAATTAGCTCAGAATTTTATGAAGCTTCGGCCAGTGTTGTTCTGTGCGCTATTCACTGTATAGAACGCGGTATTATTATTATTACTATTGTTATTAATATTGTTATTAGTTATTATTATCAATTTAAAGTTGAAAATAACACTGAAATAACACACGCGAAATTAATATATGTGTGTTATTCCAGTGTTATTTTTAACTTTATATTGATAATAACAATAATAATATCGCGCCCTATACAGTAAATAGCGCACAGGGCAACACTCGCCAACCAAAGTCTGATCAAATTTTGAACTAATCTCATTCTTGAAATCGAGTGTCTTACGTCTCCGAGAGGAGCCTAAATATCATGAAATGAAAGAAATGGAGAGAGAGAGAGAGAGAGAGAGAGAGAGAGAGAGAGAGATACGATATCCAAATAATTTTATAAAGTTTTAATAATGTTCAATTTTTATGATTTAAAAATTTAAGAATGTTATATATATTTAAGAATGTTATATGTTTACGTAAAAAAATGTCTTATACTTTATTAAATTTATTTCTTAACATCATATTTATATATTGTTTATTTTACTCGTGTCTTGTACAATAAAATAGAATATAAAACTTTAAAGTACACTCGGCAATAGAGAAATATCTCAATATATGAATTTATATACATATAAATGCATGTATCGAAAAATATATATATTAAAATGATTGTTTTCTAACAAGAAACCCTGTTAAATAAAACTATTTTGTTGGCTACATGTTATTCTCGAAAATAAGTTACATGATATCTAGCTAATATAATAGCTTTGTGTTACACAATATTATTAAAATTGCTGTTAAAATATATTGTAATGTTATTGCTGGAAAACGGCCAATATATGCATAAATTTGTGTGCTAAGATTTTCCTGTTGCCGAGTTACGTAGGCCAGTTGTGTCGAAATAAATGTCTAATAATAATAGACGTTTTTTAAACAACTTTTAAACGTAAATAGACTTTTTTAAACAACTTTTAAACGTCTTGTAAACGGCTAATAGGTGTTTAAATAGACGTCTTATAGAGGTATAATTTGAAAGACACAAAAACGTCTAATCAATCAAAATTTAGACGTATATATCCACCAGATTCTTTAGTTGTTGATTCGACGTCTTTTCAACTGATAACTTCTCACTGGGATGTAATCTCCCATCCCAGGTACAACAGATAGTCAAAATAATCTCACGTCAATCTCATTTTCACTAAAAAATGACGTAAGTTTGGTCAATATTTGATCAAAATAACGTCAGATTGACATTATTTCGAATATCTATTCTACCTGGGATCTTTATTCACATTTAATGAGCGACGCTCATTAGCTATCGGCTGTGTTCAGCAAAAAAAGTTGCTTTGCGACTGTGCAGAATCCGTGAATCTGAATAGTGTATGCTTTTAGATTCAGCCAAAATTAAAAGCAGATTCACGAGTTCTACAGCAGTTGCAAAGCAGCTTTCTTTGCCGAACACAGCTATTGGCTGTGTTCAGCGGGAAAAGGAGTTCAGTAAGCGCTGCGCTGCTGATTTTTCGCTAAACGACATTTAGTGGTTTGCGCTTTTCTCTCCAATGTTTACTGAGCGGTTCAACGTATTAAAAGTATGCTGGAAAGCGGCTGACGACCGCTTAGTAAACGTTACGTAATAAAGCGTAAACCGCTAAGGTCGTTTAGTAAAAAAATCTTGCAACAGTTGCAAAGCTGCTGGTAAAGCAACGCGAAGCGCTTGCGAAGCTGCTTTTTCAGTGGCTGATGCCATTGAGCCATTGAGAATAATCGGAAAGAGACAAGAATCTTCCTCTATCCTCCAATGGATAAAAAATAACACTCTCATTTCGATGTATTGCGCAATGCATCTCTATCTAATAGAAGAATCTATATTATGATAATTTTCAGAGAGAAAATACACTTTCCTATTGGATACAGAATGCGTTATAAAGTCGTTGAGATAGAAGTATTGTAAACTTCTATCCACTGACTGTTCTATCTAATCTTGTTCGGCTATTATTCTACTTATATCAGGTTAATTCAAAAATTTTTTTCTGCAAACACTAAACTAATGTTGATAATAACAAATCCTCTTTTCTAAACAGAAGTATAAAATATACCGACGAAATACACATTCTATAGAAAAAGAATTCTTAAATAAATTTAAAATTTGTTTATTGTAAAAGACAGATTCGTTTTTAGTAATTAAGAAGTTGGTAGTAAATGAGAAAAATATATAGTTAATAACCATATAATCTTTAAAATGCTAGATTTGGTTTCTGATTTGAAGCCGCGTTTTTATAGATACGTTTCGTAAATATGTCAGTCCGCTTGATCAGGAGCACTTGATACTGAATCACTCCTCAATAGATTCCTTTATAAACGAGTAGATCTTATTTCTCTCGACGTAGTTTCTTCGAACTGAGGCAAAAGTGGCCATAAACGCGATGACCTAATGTTCCATATTTAGCAAATCAAGAATATACGAGCGATTGTGAAAATAAGTAATTTCCGACAGGTTCCCACGACACGATGACTTATACGATCGAGAGGCGCAACGACGTGGGGCCGGACGAACCCACCTTCATCCGAACGCTTGGTCGTTACTGCTCGTTCGTTGCCAAGCCCATTATCCTAAATTGGTCTATTACACAGCGCGACGATGTCAAGCAACAGCTCAACGGCGGAATCCGATATTTGGATCTACGCGTCGCCACGAAGCCGAGAAGCAAAGACATATATTTCCTGCACGGCCTGTACGGTTCGGAGATCAGCAAGCCGCTGATGGACGTCGCCGACTGGCTCACCTCACACGCGAACGAAATCGTTATCCTGGACTTCCAACACTTTTACGCGTTTACCGAGGAAGATCACCATCGTTTTATAGAAAGAATCAATCAGATTTTCCGTGGGAAATTGTGCCCGATCTCATCCAGGTTCGATCATATCACGCTGCAGTGGCTGATCGTGAGGCGGTATCAGGTCTTCGTGATCTACAGAAACGTCTACGCTCACAACTACACGAATCTGTGGCCGTCTGGTCTCTGGCGCACCGTCTGGCCCAACACCGTCCGCGTAGATGAGCTGATCGACTTCCTGAACGTCGAGCTGCAGAGCAGGTCGTTGGACATCGCCTTCGTGTCGCAATGCCTCCTCACGCCGGACACATCCTACGTTATAAAGCATCTCTGTGGTACCCTGCAGAGGGATTTGGTACCGCTCTGTCGAAAGGCGGTTCTCTCTTGGATCAACCAAAAACGACCAGGTCATGGCGGGCTGAATATCGTCATAGCGGACTTCGTGTCGGACAATAACTTCATGTTTTCCAAAACGGTCATTCAGAGCAATACGAAACTGCTGCGCGGCCCGGAAGCGTTCTAAACCCGTTTTTCGCGCTCTCGCTTACTTAAGAGTACAAACACAACAACGATAACCTTGAATATAGAAGTCTTCACTAACGCATCGTTCAAGATATCTCTATGTTTGACGTGTTAATCCGACACTGATGAAGTATCATCCAAAGTACGCAATAATGAGTGCTTTCCATTTGGTCGGCACAAACATTATCCTATCTTTGTTACTCATAGAATATGAAACAAAGACAGAATGATGCTTCTGTTAACTTGTATACCTATATTATAAATGAAAAATATACAACAATAGCGTGGTGTCGATATTCTTAAATTTAAGACGTATTATTAATTAATGAGCATATATTATCTAATCTAAAATTATTGTAGTCGATTATATATGTCTTTTAGCTAAAGACTGTAACACTTTGTTTGGAAAACACAGACATGTTTGATTATATATATTATTAATAATATCATATATATATATATATATATATATATATATATATATATATATATATATGTAATATTTTCTCAACTTTGCACTCTAGAATAAGTTTAACTTTTATACAATATCATTTACGATGAATATAACAACAAAGAGAACATTAAACGCATTTAATAAATATATAATTAAACTGGTATAGTATAATATAAATTTAGAATAATATAAATTGTTAAACAATACATTCACATCAGATATGAAAAGAAAGTTCTCTAGAATATTAATATAGGTTCCTTTTTTAGGCGCACATGCTACACAAGCATGGACGTAGGATAATAATTATAACAAGTAATAATTTCACAACTATTGTTCTCGATCATACGTCTATGCAGCATCAAAAAAGGCATGGATATTGTTATTACTACGTCCATACGTATATACGTACGTATGTATGTATATATGTATGTATGTATGTATATATGTATGTATGTATGTATATATGTATGTATGTATGTATGTATGTATATATGTATCTCTATATAGTATATACTAGTTTATTACGTTTCTCATTTTCAACACGAAATATCTATGATATTTAAGTATATAAGCTGGCAGTAGGGCAAACAAAGTATACATTATACAATAAATTACAATTCGCAGAATATTCTTGTTCACACAGTCGTTTGTACTTTCTTCGATAAGTTCGATACTTCGCGCGAGAATGGGTGAAGAAGTGAGAGAATTTGACAAAGGATTTAAATTTGACTCTTTTTATCTCGCAGATAATTTGGACGAAGTATATATTTTTCCAATGTGTTCACGAAGTTTCCTCTCGAGTATTTCAATGATAATGACGAATTCATGGCTCTCTAAAATTCGCATTGCACTCGCTAGTTTCCATTGTAATCGGTCATAAGGCTTTCACCTTCAGTTGTTTCATTCTAGGGGCGCGCTTCTTTGCCAACCTACGTTGTTCCTTCTCTTCCCACTTGCGCTGCTTTTCGGGATCCTCTTCTTGGAGGATCCTTTCTTTCTCGGCTCTTCGGCGCTCCTCTCGCTTTTGCGCCGCCGCTTCAGCTCTCGCGGCGTGCGTCGTCTTCAGGAAGGCTTCCTCCACTTTGCATCGATTTTTATCAGCCTTGTTCCTGCCCTAAGTATGGTGAAATTCATCTCAAAATAACATAAAATCTCAACGAATGTCTTTCGTTTTTAAAGTTTCTGTTTCCTCGCTACATTCAATAGTCATAAAATCAACGTAACCACTGACATGTGGTCTGCCTTTTAACTAGATAATTTTGTCGTGTTAATTTTATGGCTGTTTATTACTCGTTATAACAAAAGGTCAACTTTTGGATTGTATTAGGAATCTTCACAAGTGAATCGTCACAAGTGTTATTTTGTGGTCACGTCTTTCTATTTTCTCGTTTCTGACAAAGGACCCCGCACAAAACCTATGGAAAATGATTTTCGGTCAGATTGGCTGAAATTTCACTATGTTATAGTTTTCGCCATAAAAAGTTTGCTGATAAAAAGTTATCATTGCACCAAGTCCCAAAAGTCAATATTTCCCAAGATATAAAGGGTCAAAGTAGTGAAAATGGTCATCTGCAGTAGTAAGACGTATGTTATAAATATAAGTGATACATTGATATTTATTCACGAAATAAATAAAAATCGATTTATATATATATATATATATATATATATATATATATATATATATATATATATATATATAAAA